CGTGCATTTATGAAATCGGTCACCGAGCGTTTCGTTTGGTCAAGCCTAAATGTATCCGTAACTGAGCTCTTATTCGTCTTCTGTGTCAGTGCTCCGAAGTAGATTGACACACTAGTACTCCTCCCAAATTATTTCCTGCTCCTGACTCACGGTTCAAGTGCCTTGAGAACTAGTAAGACTCCTGCATCCTTCTTTCGGATTCCTGTACATTTTGGTCAAAGTCCAGTATCTTACAAGACAACGAGACCGAGAGTGTTAGCTGTGCTCTCTTGAACTGTTGATTGTCCCACTACGGATGCCTGTCCACGAACAAAACCGACCCCAGCGCAGTGGTTATGGTTCTCCAAAGAATGAAACGGTCGAGCAGTGCTTTAATGCGTGTATATTGGCTCTGACCGCGTCCAGATATGATGCATTTCTGCGTTTATTTATAACAACGATGCTCATACAACGCGCGGGCTATAATTAGCCATTGGACGGTTTACAATTTGTCGACTCTAGTTCCACAGTGATTTGATTGCCACGAATCCTTTAAAAATTGGAGTACCGCAGTCGTCTTACTCTTTGTTTATGACATCCAACTGGAAGGCTCATCTTGGAAATGATAATATGTTACCAGATACAAAACAACTTTGTGAAGTTTTCCGTTTATTCATCGTTTTCTAATTATGTACACTTGGAAGAACACTTCACTGTCACACATCGTAAGCAGTGCAAACTTGGCGCTACATTTTGTCATTTTGGGCTCCGGAATTTCATTTGGCTATTTTTTCTTTTGCAATTGCCTAGAAAGCAACAAGGTTATTCCAGCGAAAACGCCAACATTTAGCGTTTATGCAGCTACTCTTACACTTGACTAATAGCATCATATTTCTCAGCGTTTTGCTCCAGTTACATTTACCTTGAGGCGTATATCGCAACCGGTCTGTTTTGTTTGCGATGGAAGATGTTTCTCACACAAGGAAAGTTTATTTTTACTGTAGTCCGGTATAGGCGGACCTTCCTCGTCCCATGTTAACGGTTTATAACAAGTGACCCTGAAAGCCTAGTCGTGTCTAAGCAATATGTTCTATGAATTATTTATTGTGGGCGAATTATATCATGTACTCAACTGTGCTTGGTCTCAGTTACTTCCTATTTTCTTTGTTCACACTAGAAGCGGTTTAAAGCGCGTTATTCATCTGTTCTTATCTTATCGTTTCGTATTTCATTTCATGAGCGTAGTTTGAATAGGGTCTTCTGGGTCTAATGAAAATAATCGATGGGACGGACCAGAGAATCGGCAAAAGACTGGAACATTTGCGTTTACTTGTGGTCACTTGACAAGGTTAAAATGATTTGCGTACTGGATCCCTATCTTAATTCCCAGCTACACAAACTGCTATATGCCTGCGGGACCGTGTGAGAACAATTATTTTCCTCTTGCATTATTCACGCACAGGAATCATATTTTTGTAGATAATAATCTAACCCTTCATTTAATCTGTTACTCAAATAGTCTGGAAATACTGCTTAATTAATGTATACTTCATCGGTGACCGACACACAAAGCTCAGCTGAATTGACGTAACCCTTTGGGAATATGAGTGGTGTTCTGGTGATTGACTGTAACAAATCTTCATGAGCTGTAAATGAGGGACTCACTGACGGTTTTTTGTTCTTCAGTGCAAAAAATGTGGCCGTCAGTCTCCAACTTGATGATCCAAACCCTAACAAAAGCCGATCAGCCCTATGTGGATGGCGCAACGGGGCCTCTGGTTGCACTACCCGATTTCGAACTTGTTCCAACCACCGTGAGGCTGATACAAGAGTGCAGTGTCACGCTCGCTAACCACACTCAGCGTTCCATCCAGCTTGACTTTACTGGTTGTCTGCCAAAATGTACTTACATAAACGGAGAGCAGATTAAAGGTTGGATATACTGGACGGACCATTAAAGAATTATCTTACTTAATCCACGCATGCCATTTACGGTAGCTATGACGTTGTGCGCCCTATCGTGGCTTCACCTATTACTGTCAAGGGCATCCCCACACACGCGTGAAGTGCGTGCTCGTAGTTCATTTGGATTATTCCCCTCTATCCTGTCTCCATATTCTCGCGGCGTTGTCACTGTACGCTCATTCGAACCGGATTTACCAGCTCTACACAGTGATCCATTATACGTGGAAATATGTTCTACGATTTAAGTCTGTGCCATCAGTAACTGTTTTCATTGTCATCCGTGATTAAACGCAAGCGTTTGACTCAATCACCGAGCCGATTGCTTTTCTGTGTGACACCATTAAATACAGAATTCTCGAGGCAGACCGAAAAGC